AGGCAGGTTGCTCCTGGGTCATATGAGGAGGTAACTAATGATGGAGTTGTATATCCCAGAGAAGCAGCTTAAGAATTAAATTCAAATGCACAACAGCGACCATCAGAGGTACTGACACTGTTACGAAGATCAGCTTGTGAAGTTAGGAAACTTTAAAGACTAATTTAAGAAATGGATATACAATATACAAGGATAATGTTTATACAGTAATCTTTAATTCTATCTTGGTCTAAACTAATGTTCTTTCAATACCATGTGCACCACACATTATTTGTTCTTTATTTACATATCAGAACATCTTCCATGTATAATGTCTTATTATGTACTATTTCAATTAATTTTTTTCTACTATACTATGCATTATGCACTTAAATTGATAAGCTGTAATTATTTTTTTTTTAGATTTTTTTAGATTTTGTAAATTAAATTTAGTTTTATCATTTAGTTTTGTAATTAAAAAAAAAAAGATGTTCTGATATGTAAATAAAGAACAACTAATGTGTGGTGCACATGGTATTGAAGGAGCATTAGTTTAGATCAAGATGGAACCAAAGATTACTGTATGAGCCTTATCCTTGTGTTTATTTTGTCTTGTAATCATTACAAGCAGGTGCATGGAATTTGGGAATTAATAATTAGTCTAAATCACTTATAATTATATACTGTTCTCTGGATATAAATATAAACTAAGACAGAGTGGATGGATCCTAATAAAAATATGAAATTCCACTAGCCATATAATTGGGTTTTTTTGGACTATAAGAATAATGCTTATAACAGCATGAACATTTTTTGACAAGTAGACATAGAAATGGACAAATTAATAATCTCTTTCAGAAATATGAGATAATGAATATGTATTTAATTATATCAGATGAACTGCATGTTAAGTTGAACTTTGAAAATGTGTACATATTAGAGCATGCAAGGTGTATACTTCATTTTTAAAACAAAAGCACACATGCACTGGTAAAATATAAGTACATGATGCATTTGAAATGCACTTTAAACTTTTATATATGTGATTTATTACCTTATTTTAACAAATAATAAAACTTTGTATTATATATTACCCCAAAAATCGTTCTCTTTTCATCACCTGCCATTGTTTACAATGCTTATGTATATTCTATAAATGCATAAAAGACTGATGTCTATTTTAAAAATGGTGTATTCATTATTAAGGTTAAAATATGCATATTCAATTATAAAAACAAAAGGCTTTGCTTTCTGAGTACTAAAACTAGATTAGTTGTTGTACCAATTTTTAACACTTTACAGAATATGGTAAAATTTAATTCTCGTTAGAGCTTTTAAGGTTTTGAAATCTAAATGTCAAATAATACTGCAGATATATAAAACAAAGTTGATAAAATTATCCTATTACCTTGAAGGCTTTTTGTCAAATTGGATCTAGTGCTCCTTCTTTTTAATTGCATACTTGGACCTTAGATAAAAAGAGCAAAAAATTATAATCACAAATGACTGAATTATAAGTTGGAGGAAAGTTTTAGTAGACAAATTTTACTGAACATTGAAGTCTTTTTTTAACTTATAAATTACAGATGTTACTTCAAAAGAGAAGATAATGACATCTTAATTAGAAGTCAAAAGGAATGAAAGTAAGAAAGTAAAGTTTCCCTTTCAGAACTTGTGGTCTATAAGGCAGATGATGAAAAGGTCATCTGTTTTTATGGCCTATGATTAACAAGGGTGTCATGTGGCCAGCACAACGATCAACAACCTTTACTTTTCCCTGACTAATGTCAGGTACCCATTGGAGCTGGGTGGACTCAGAGGCACCCAAAGACCCTGAAATTAAAAATCCCAGTCTTCACCAGGATTCAAAATGTAAATGCTTTGTCTCAGTGGAAGGAAGATATAATGTTGCCCAAATAAATAAACATGGAGCTCAAGAATTATCTGACACAGAAGATTAAAAATGTTCTTTCAATATGACAGAAATTTAGATAGCACTTTTCAGTTAATATTTCTGGTAATCTCAAATTAGATAAATGCCATTTATTAAGAAAATAAAGGGTCATTGTGTTGGCTAGACAATGTTCTTATAAACCATTGGTTACAGAAGCAAGCAAGCTTTACATCATATTCCCCACAGACTGCCTAATTTTGAAGGGAGAATTTCTTAAGTCAAAAAGTGAATTAGATGTTCTTTTCTTGTAGATTATTCCAAATTCTTGCAACTGAAGCACATTGAACAGCTAACTTCAAAGCCATCCTGCTAACACTACATGACATATTATATATGGCATGCCCGTTATTCTAAATTCTTGCATCTGAAGCACATTGAACAGCTAACTTCAGAGCCATCCTGCTAACACCACATGACATATTATATATGGCATGCCAGTTTTTCTTATAAATATCTATTTGAAATAGGAGTGATGACATCAAGAGGACAGATGGTGCCAAATCAATTAACAAAGTGAGGGTCCACCAAAGAACAAACTAGTTAAGCCAGATCTATAAGACTTGCAACAAAAGAACAAACCTTTAGAGCATACAAAAACAGTTGCTCAAAATACAAAGTAAGAGGAAGGGAACAAGGTGGACATGGGATGTGAAAATAACATTATAAAAGGGACTACTCATCTTTATTAGGCCCTAAACTAAGCTACATCTCTTGGGTAGAATCTGAATGATAAAATAAAGTTTGTCTTAGATATTTACCAAGTCTATTCAGCTGGTCTTGGCTCACCAAGGAGCTATTCTCCCCTTTCATGTTTCTGTTTGTATGTTTTGAGAGTTGCTGTACACCTGAAACAAAAACATTTCTGATTAAATATTGAAAAAGAGTGATGTTTGGTTGAGTGATAGGAAGCACTAGGCCACCTAACTGTGGAGGCATGAGTTCAAATCTTTATACAGACTAGAAATTTTTGAATTGAGATTTGACTGGATCTGAGTTCTATTTCTGATACATTTGGTAAGCACCTAAAGGCAGATTAAAGATTCCACAATGCACACTAAGCAAGCTAGAGGAAAATGAAAGATACTATACAAAAGCGACAATAATAATACTCACAAAATTGTCTAAATTAGAAATTTAAACTGTTTATAGTCTTTTTTTTTTTTGGTCATTCTATGTCTGGAGAGAAACATGACTTTGTTACTTGAAGGGGTAATATGTCTGGAGAGAAACATGACTTTGTTACTTGAAGGGGTAATATGTCTGGAGAGAAACATGATTTTGTTACTTGAAGGGGTAATATGTCTGGAGAGAAACATGATTTTGTTACTTGAAGGAGTAATATGTCTGGAGAGAAACATGATTTTGTTACTTGAAAGGGTAATAAAGGAAGAAGCAATCAAAAGTAAAGTAAAGTAAGATACCCTTTTCAGAACTTGCAATATATAGGGCAGATTATCATCTGTTTTTTTGGCTGATGGTTAAAGAGGTTTTATATGGCCAGCACTATGAGTTAAATTTAATTTCCCCAACTATGTCTTGTACCCATTAGAGTTGGGTGGACTCAGGGGGTGTCCTAAAAAATTAAGAAATTCAAAATCACAGTTTTCACTAAAATTCGAACCCATGACCCTGGGGTAAAGCCAAGTGCTTTATCTCTCAGCAACCAAGCCCCATAAAAGGCCACAACAATAAAAAAGATGATGCTCATTATATTGGACTAATAAAAAAAAATCTTATATGTGTGTTTCCTAACATATGAAATAAGAAATGTGGTTAAGAATTATAACAAGGAGGCTAAACATAACAGTTTTTCACTTCAAGTCAAGCCTTGATCTGGTTTATATAATTCTAATTAGTAATTTTTTTGTTTCAATGCTGTGGTGAAAGAGTAGTTGCTCCTTTGTCTCCATACATGAACTGAGGGTTTGGAACTCATTCCCCATCGAGCTTTAACTAAAGGTTTAATTCTTTTCAAGCAGATTATTAATCACTAGTGCAAACTTTACCAAGAATGTACACTTTGGTTTCTTATAGTTATAATGTTTTTTGTTTGGTGTAATGCACAAATTGTAAGACAAATTTCCATACGGACAATAAAGATTATTATTATTATTATTATTAAAATTGTGCTATATTCAAGCCTTTCCCTTAAGTATTGTATTGAAAATACTTTATGCATGTAAATCTAAGTGTTTACGTAGTTTAGGTTTAAATAGTGCATTGAGTTACAGTATGTTAGTTAATAGTGAAACATAAAGTAGATTATTAATCAACCCCTATCTCTCTTTTTATTTATTTTTATAGTTTAAATAGTTAAAACAAAAATTTGGTTACATATAGTAACATTTTCATAAAACTGAAGTCCAATTTACTTTCAAAAAATTTTAAAAATAATAAATAGAATAAAAATAGTGAAGTTATGCTAGAAGAAGAAGAAAAAAAAAGGAAGACATACTTTTAAAAAGAAACACTGTTTACTTTTTAAAAAAAAGAATCCCTAGATTGAAGAATAGAAGTCACATGCTTTCTTAAAGATTGTTGAACAATGTCTATTATATATATATTTCTCTTATGTTCCCTGGCTAAAGAAAGCCTTTGTTTACAATATATTTAAAAAAGATAGACATAAAAGACAATAATTAAGTAAAGAATTGTATAACATAGTGCGGAATACATTTTAGTTCTACTATCTTTAATACACCAGCATACAGTTGTCTGCATGAGCATTGCATAAGTTTTTTTATTATTATTGATTACCAGATGAAATAATGTTTCAAGATGGCATGTTTTCTACACGTTTGTATTATTTTTTTTTACAACAAAAAGAAGTCCTGAAAGTAATATTCTAAACAAATGAATACAAATCCAGCACCAAGAATGAACAAAAATATCAACTGAATTAATGAATCTAATCAGTAGTCCTCAAATTATGATAAATTAAGAACCTCTTCTGTGCGAATATTTACTGAAGCTGCACTTTTTTGTTGCCAGAAAGTCTTACACTAGGTCATGAGACAGCAGTTGGTGATAGAAATATACATTACATCTCAGTCGATTGTACCACAGTAGAAAACTGATTTCAAATGGTGCTAGACCCTTTTTAAAATCTAAGCACCAGAAGAGACCAGGTTTCCTTGAGGTAGTTCAGCATAGGTGTTGATCACATGGACCAGATTTCAACAACACTGGAACTGGTCTTCTAGGGCCAATCCAGCAATAGGATTTTGGGATTCAATAATTCACAAACATAATAGATTGGATTTCACTGCAGCAGCATTAATCACTATAATAAACCCAGTTTTCAACAACCACAACAAAAGACAAGACTTCATTGCAGTATGTATTTAATCGCTAGGATATACCCAGTTTTTCTTGAAGTATTGAAGTAACACAAGTGGTTTCAAGTAACAGAGAAACCAAACTTCAGTAAAATTACAAAGTGCTATCAGTATAATCAGTATTAATAATTTCCCCTTTCAGACCATGAGGTCTATAGGATAGATGATGTAAAAGTCTGTTTCTGTGGGCCACTGTTAATGAGGGTGTCATATAAACAGCACCATGATCAGTCTCCTTTACTTTACTCCCAACTAATGTCAGGTACCCATTCAAGCTGGGTGGCACCCTAAAGATCCCAAAATTTAAGAAATCCAAGGATTCGAGCCTGGGACCTCCAGTTTGGAAGTCAAGCACTTTACCACTCAGGCATGGGTTAATGTAAAAAAAAAAAAAAGGTAAATGTTTCCTTTGTTAGTTAAACATCTACAGGGTAAGCAAAGAAAGGATGGTGTTTCTATGGTTCATCTTTAATGAGGGTAGCATATAATCAAATTAACAGTCTTCATAATATATCAACATCAACAGCTGAGATACTTATTCAAAGATATGCAGCGTAAACGCCAAGATTTCAATGCAAAACTCTGCTAAGACTCTAATACAAAACCCTAGGTAAAACAGAGACTTAACTATTCAACTTTTAATGTCTACTCAGATTCACCGCTTAATGATTTTCAGTCAACAAGGAATAGTTCTTCATTGTCTCTCTTGTCTTTCAGATTTATATCCGAAATGAATGGATAGGAATCTAATCAGGAAATAGAACTTGGCGAAAGAAAATGCTGGTGAAAGTGCTTTCAAAGAGACTGAGTGTCATAATCCTGCAAAGTACTGCCGATGAGACTGTGTCTTGAAGTCCTACAAAGCACTGCCAAAAAGACTGTGTCTCGAAGTCCTGAAAAGTATTTCCAGATAGAATGTGCCTCGGAAGTCCTGCAAAGTACTGCCAAAGAAACTGTGTCTCGAAGTCCTGCAAAGTGCTGTCAAAGAGACTGTGTCTTGAAGTCCTACAAAGCACTGCCAAAGAAACTGTCTCCAAGTCCTGCAAAGTGCTGCCAAAAAAACTGTGTCTCGAAGTCCTGCAAAGTTCTGTCAAAGATACCGTGTCTCGAAGTTCTGCAAAGTGCTGCCGAAGAAACTGTGTCTCGAAGTCCTGCACAGTACTAACATGTAGGTCCAGGTAAGATGAAACATAAATAAATTCCGAAAGAGTGCTAAATAACCGTACGAACACGCTCATTGTGTGCACTAACTAGAAAGATTTTAAACTTTTTTGTACTCGTGGCCAATGTTGGAATGACCGTAATCCCCATATTTAACCATCCTCCAGCAAACACAGTTTGAGTATTTGGAAGAGTTGCTGATGTGGAAAGAAAAATATGTCAAAGTTTCACCAAAGATTCCAAGCTAAGATAAATACAAAGTGATCATTAAGTCTGCCCAAGTATGTAAAATGATGAAGCAACTAGTCAGCTGATTTGTATTTTGTAGTTTCGTTTCTAGATCATTGCATACAAGAAGGACATCGCTCCAGTGTTTGTAATAACAATTCAGAAGATCTTAAAGTAAAAAGTCCGCATGCCCATCTTATTAATTAGTCAAGATAAAATGATTAAGTAGGCATATTAACCATTTTCTACCTAATTACGTTCGTTAAATATTTATGTTGTATTTTAGGTAATGAAATAAGATCACAGAGGGTCACTCTAAATAAAATCGTACTCTGCTTTCTGAGTATGGAATTAGTAATTATGCCGGAGCCATTTCTCCTACACACAATCCTTGCCATGAACTGGTTTTGTTTTCTAGTCTTTTGTGGACACTGCAACCACAACTGTGTCGGTGTATATGTGCGCTAGATGTGTGTTTGTGTGCGCAATATGTGTGTCTATGCGTGCTAGATGTTGCGTGTGTATGATCGATTTCATTGAGCTCCAACGAGTAGCTCCATCGACTCTTTCAAATTAACCAATGAATATTTATACAGCCTAGTGTTACTGCCCTTGCCATCAATAACGTCCTGGGAAAAAAAAAGGAAGTACAGCAAAGGGAGGCGGGAGGAACTATCAGAAGTTGACTGAATAATGCTGGTCAGCTGAGTTTTTTTTTTTACTCTAATAGTTGGGGGGGGGGGGGGGGAACAACGTTGTTACCATTTGTTTACGACACTGGAACTCAAAATACAGACCAACAAAACAGTTGTGGCAATAATTATCAGATACGTTAGGAAGTGATTCCAGTGCCTGTGCGATTTTCAGTCACCTCTCTCTCAGCATAATTCAACAGTTGACCCCTACCCATCGATTCTCCACCCCCCCCAAAAAAGGAGGTGGTCGAGGTTTGGGAAGGGGGTGTCGATCTGTGATCATGTCATGACGAATGTCCCTTGATGTTTGCCCAATTTCAATAAGCTATTTAAGAGTCAGACTGTCTGTGGGACGTCAAGGCGTTTTCTTTCTACCTGAGTCCAAAATGTTTAACCAAATAAACTTACTATGTCACAAGTTCTCAACATTAAAGTTTCCTATAGGCATATATATATATATAAAGCGAGAGAGAGAGAGAGAGAGAGAGAGAGAGAGAAGGAGAGATCCAAAGTTAGTAATTTTACCGGTCAGCATAGCAGCCTATTTCCAGGGATAAGACAACTAAATAGAAGTATTTTAAGAGTTTCTTAAATTCATAACCCTAAAAGTATATGTTATACCCTTAGAAGAACACGATGAGCCTTTGGACGTGAACTCTGATCCTAGCATGTGCAACAGTAATGTGTCTTATAGGCCTCTGAAAGTAGGTAGTCAAATTTATTTGCTTAGGTCGTAGTCAGCCACGGTCAACTGTGATTTAGCAATTTTTTTTTAATTTGATGTACGCTGTGCTAGGCAATAATTAAATGACTGCTGATGTTTCCTCCTCTTGCGGATACTAATCATTCAAGTTTACGGTAATGAGATAGTTCTAGTGATTCTTTAAGAATGTAGGGCCTGCATTTCACAATCTGGGATAGTTCTAGTAATTCTTTAAGAATATACAATTTCCAATCTGAGATAGTAACTCTTTACCGTTTATTCATAAGTCTGACACATTTTGAGAGTGTATTTGTAATAGGTATGGGTCAAGCAAGTACAAATTAGGGTTGTGAATAAATAGTCTCAACTATATTTCAATACTGAAACAGCCCTTTAAAAAAATTACTGTTAAAAAAAATATCAGAAAGACTTCTCTCCCTTCAATAAAACATAACCATTAAGGCTTAACATTTACAAAAGGATAAAAAGAAACCCATCAAAGATGAGTGAGGTCAGATGGACTTTTGTCACAATGGATTTCTTCTAATGATCAATTGCTAGAGATCACATAGATCTTTTTTCCCCCCACATCTCATGTCCCTTGACTTTCATCGTAGGGGTGCTGCAACAGTTCGTGTAACAAAATCCCTCTATTTTTTCCCCCCAGTCAGCAGCTGTTCTTAGCAGAATATCAAGAGGCCGGTCCATTCTTTCACAGTGTCCAGGAAGATTTTCTATGTGCTCCATCCATTGTACATTTCAAAGTGAATCATGACGTACACTATTTGTTCATATCCGAATTGATAAAAATGACATATATTCGAGATAAAGATAAAAATAAATAAACAAGTAACAAATTTAAAATAAAATCAATCTCTCCTTTACGAGACTGATGATTTTTTTTTTGTAATCCCGCCCCAGTTACTCTCCTCCCCCCCCCCCCCCCCCCCCACCGGAGAAACAAATCATGTATTTTTGACTGTATGGCCAATAAGCTAGTAATTTTTTCCCCAAAGATATACAAAGACTATCAATTTTTTAGAAAAATCGTTAGAGCCGTTTTCAAAATCCGTGTCCACCCACCCACAGAAAGCTAATAAGAGGAATTGTAATCAATAAGTTCAAAGCATTTTTGACAGGAGCTCAACATGTCTTGCTAAAAGAAAAGTTTCTCTGTTTCTTAGCCACAAGAAACCACATGTTTCTTGACCAATAGCAACCACATGTTTCTTGACCAAAAGCAACCACATGTTTCTTGACCAAAACCAATCACAATATTTTTTGACCAAAAGCAACCCTACGATTCTTGGCCACAAGTAATCACAGGACTCTTTGCCACAAAAATCAAATGGCTCTTTGACACAAGCAATCACATTTTCTTGGACACAAGCAACATCTGTATGATTGCAAGAAATACAATCACGTGCAAATTTTGAGGTGACATCATAAAGTTTCCTATGTTGATAACTTGTTCCCATCATTAACCAAAAGTATACCCCACAGTAACGTCTGATCAAGCTCAATTGTTCACATCCTTAACCAAAGGTATACCCCATAGTAACGTCTGATCATGCTCAATTGTTCCCATCATTAACCAAAGGTATACCCCATAGTAACGTCTGATCAAGCTCAATTGTTCCCATCATTAACCAAAGGTATACCCCATAGTAACGTCTGATCAAGCTCAATTATTCACATCCTTAACCAAAGATATACCCCAGAGTAACGTCTGATCAAGCTCAATTGTTCACATCCTTAACCAAAGGTATACCCCATAGTAACGTCTGATCAAGCTCAATTGTTCACATCCTTAACCAAAGATATACCCCAGAGTAACGTCTGATCAAGCTCAATTGTTCACATCCTTAACCAAAGATATACCCCAGAGTAACGTCTGATCAAGCTCAATTGTTCACATCCTTAACCAAAGATATACCCCAGAGTAACGTCTGATCAAGCTCAATTGTTCACATCCTTAACCAAAGATATACCCCACAGTAACGTCTGAT